CTTGCAGGCACTTGAAGGCAGTCACATGCTTTCCTTTGTACTTGATCACTGTTCCAAATGACTTTCTAATCTGTTTAAAATAGTTTCCTTCACAGAACTGACCTAAAACCATCTACTGCTATCCCAAACGTAATATTTATTGTATAAATCTTTCATCTCACAGAACACAGAATGTTTTCAGCATGGAACCAAAGCTTTTGGCATGTCTGTCTATCGTGACCTCTGTAGAATTTACCAGCGCCACTCCCTATCTTTTCCCCACCTCCCTGCATTTTCTTTCCTTTGCAGATGATGATCCAATTACCTTATTAAAAAGTGCAATTACTTTCGCCACATGCTGAGACATCACATTTCAGGATGTAACCACTGTCTGCATGAGAATGTTTGTTTTTCTTTTACATCCTGTTGCCTTCGCTTCTTTTGCCAATTGCCTTCAAACTGTGCCGTCTGGTTCTTGAATCTTCCACTAATGGGAACAGAATTTCCCTTTTTGCTGTGTCCAGATACCTCCTGAAGATATTGCTATCAGATCTCCTCTCAACCTGCTATTCTTCAAAGATAAAAGACTCAAATCATTAATCCATGTATAGAACTGAATTAGTATTGCCAAAGCAGATGTTGTGCGATCCTAATAGACCACATTCGTTCCCATTTACTCCTCCTATTTTATAGGATGTCAATGGATGAAATTTGCTGTCTAGTTATGTTTCACATTGCTGCTGATTATGGGAGTTCACTGTAATCAAATTGGTTGCTTCATTTCTGAGGAACACATTGGGAGACGGATTGTGGAAAGGTGCAGAAGTAATAGGACTGTTGTCATGGATGATTTCAACTTCCCTAATAGAGACTGGAACCTCCTAAGTGCAAATAGTTTGGATGGAGCAGGTTTTGTCAGGTGTGTCCAGGAAGGATTTCTGACTCAATATGTAGATAGGCCGACAAGAGGGGAGACCATATTGGATTTGGTGCTTGGCAACGAACCAGGCCAGGTGTCAGATCTCTCGGTAGGAGAGCATTTCGGTGAAAGTGATCACAACTCCCTGACCTTTACTATAGTCATGGAGAGGGATAGGATCAGACAGTATGGGAAAGTATTTAATTGGAGAAGGGGGAATTACAATGCTCTTAGGCAAGAACTGTGGAGTATAAATTGGGATCAGATGTTCTCAGGGAAATGCACGACAGAAACGTGGAGGTTGCTTAGGGAGCAGTTGCTAAGAGTGCTGGATAGGTTTGTCCCACTGAGGCAAGGAAGGGATGGTAAAGTGAAAGAACCTTGGATGACAAGACATGTGGAACATCTAGTCAAGAGGAAGAAGGAAGCTGACTTAAGGTTGAGGAAGCAAGGATCGGACAGGGCTCTAGAGCTCTACAAGGTAGCCAGGAAGGAACAGAAGAATGGACTTAGGAGACCTAGAAAGGGGAAATGAAAAAACCTTGGCAGGTAGGATCAAGGAAAACCTCAAGGTGTTCTATGCTTATGTCAGGAACAAGAGGATGGCCAGAGTGAGGGACAGTGGAGGGAACTTGTTGCGGAGTCAGAGGAGGTAGGGGAGGTCCTTAATGAATACTTTGCTTCTGTATTCACCAGTGAGAGGGACCTTGACGTTTGTGAGGACAGCATGAAACAGGCAGATATGCTCGAACATGTTGATGTTAGGAAGGAGGATGTGTTGGAAATTTTGAAAAATGTGAGGATAGATAAGCTCCCTTGGCCAGATGGGATATACCCAAGGTTACTACGGGAAACAAAGGAAGAGATTGCTGCCCCTTTGACGATGATCTTTGCATCCTCACTGTCCACTGGAGTAGTACCAGATGATTGGAGGGTGGTAAATGTTATTCCCTTGTTCAAGAAAGGGAATAGGGATAATCCTGAGAATTACAGACTGGTCAGTCTTACTTCTGTGGTGGGCAAATTATTGGAGAGGATTCTGAGAGATAGTATTTATGATTATTTGGAAAAGCACAGTTTGATTAGAAATAGGCAGCATGGCTTTGTGAGGGGGAGGTCATGCCTCACAAGCCTTATTGAATTCTTTGAGGATATGACAAAACACTTCGATGAAGGTAGAGCAGTGGATGTGGTGTATATGGATTTTAGCAAAGCATTTGATAAGGTTCCCCATGGTAGGCTCATTCAGAAAGTAAGAAGGCATGGGATTCAGGGAAATTTGGCTGTCTGGATACAAAACTGGCTGTCCAATAAAAGACAGAGGGTGGTAGTCGATGGAAAGTATTCAGCCTGGAGCTCGGTGACCAGTGGCGTTCCACAGGGATCTGTTCTGGGATCTCTGCTCTTTGTGATCTTTATAAATGACTTGGATGAGGAAGTGGAAGGGTGGGTTAGTAAGTTTGCCGTTGACACGAAGGTTGTTGGAGTTGTGGACAGCGTGGAGGGTTGTTGAAGGTTGCAACGGGACATTGACAGAATGCAGAGCTGGGCAAAGAAGTGGCAGATGGAATTCAACCCAGAAAAGGGTGAAGTGATGCATTTTGGAAGGTGGAATTTGAATGCAGAATACAGGGTTAATGGCAGGATTCTAGGCAGTGTGGAGGAACAGAGGGATCTTGGGGTCCACGTCCATAGATCCCTCAAAGTTGCTACTCAAGTTGACAGGGTTGTAAAGAAGGCGTATGGTGTGTTGACTTTAATTGGCAGGAGAATTGAGTTTAAGAGCCGTGAGCTTATGCTGCAGCTCTATAAAACCCTGGTTAGACCACACTTGGAATATTGTGTTGGGTTCTGGTCACCTCATTATAGGAAGGATGTGGAAGCTTTAGAGAGGGTTCAGAGGAGATTTATCAGGATGCTGCCTGGACTGGAGGGCAGGTCTTATGAGGAAAGGTTGAGGGAGCTAGGGCTTTTCTCATTGGAGTGAAGAAGGATGAGAGGTGACTTGATAGAGGTGTACAAGATGATGAGAGGCAGAGATAGAGTGGATAGTCAGAGACTGTTTCCCAGGGCAGAAATGGCTATTACAAGGGGGCATAATTTTAAGGTGATTGGAGGAAGGTATAGGGGAGATGTCAGAGGTAGGTTCTTTACACAGAGAGTGGTGGGCGTGTGGAATGCGCTGTCGGCAGAGGTAGTGGAATTGGATACTTTAGAGTCTTTTAAGTGACTCTTGGATAGACACATGGAGGATAGTAAAATGTAGGGTAGATTGATCTTAGTAGGATAATAGGTCGGCACAACATCATGGGCCGAAGGGCCTGTATTGTGCTGTACTGTTCTATGTTCTATGTTCATTTCTATGCTTCAAATGGTATGCAGCACATCTTGCAGACATGTTTTTTATGTTTGAATTTTGTATTGCCCTGTGTTTTTAAGGGTCACTCCAGTTGGGGGGAGGGGTCTGCGCAAGACTGAGCAGAAGCTGTGTTCAGGATTTGAGTTCAATGCTTCTGAAGTATCATTGACAACCTCGGCATCATTCTAGCCCATGAATCTGGAGAAGAAACAAAAGATGGACTGTTTGAGCGTGTTTTTTTGTAAGGTGTAAATAAATGCGAGGTGCTGCATTTTGGAAAGGCAGATCAGGGCAGGACTTAATGGTAAGGTCCTGGGGAGTGTTTCTAAACAAAAAGACCTTGGAGTACAGGTTCATAGTTCCTTGAAAGCGGAGTCGCAGGTAGACAGGATAGTGAAGAAGACATTTGGTACACTTGCCTTTATTGGTCGATGCATTGAGTAGAGGAGTTGGGAGGTTGTGTTGCAGCTATACAGGACATTGGTCAGGCCACTTTTGGAATATATGTTCAGTTCTGGTCTCCCTGCTAGAGGAAGGATGTTGTGAAATGTATAAGGCCTCAGAAAAGATTTATAAGGATGTTGCCAGGGTTGGAAGCTATAGGGAGGGGCTGAATAGGCTGAGGCTGTTTTTTCCCTGGAGTGTCTGAGGCTGAGCAGTGACCTTACAGAGGTTTATAAAGTCATGAGGGGCATGAATAGTGTGAATAGCCAAGGCCTTTTCCCCAGGGTGGGGGAGTCCAAAACTAGAGAACATAGGTTTAAGGTGAGAGGGGAAAGATTAAAAGGGAGCTAAGGGCAACTTTTTTACACAGAGGGTGGTGCATGTATGGAATGAGCTGCTAGAGGAAGTGGTGGAGGCTGGTACAATTAAAACATTTAAAAGGCATCTGGATGGGTATATGAATAGGAAGGGTTTAGAGGGATATGGGCCAAATACTGGCAAATGGGACTAGATTAATTTAGGATATCTGGTCGGCATGGACGAGTTGGGCCGAAGGGTCTGTTTCTGCGCTGTACAGCTCCATGACTCTACCTGTAAAATAATGTGTACTTCAGTTCTGATGAAGAATTATCTAGACTCAGAACATTAGCTTGCTTTCTCTCCATAGATGCTGCCTGACCCGCTGTGATCTCCAGCATTTTTTTGTTTTCAGTACAGTTCACAAGACTGTGAGTAGGACTTGGAGAGCCAATCCCACTCCCCTGGCCAAGATTTATCTCTCATTCAGCATCTCAAGGGAAAAATCAGCAGATCTGATGCTTTTCACACTTGCTGTTGTGTAGAACCTGCCGTGCTTATGTTAGTTGATGGGATTTCGTATTTTTACATCAGTAACTACACCTCAAAAAGTGCTCCATTGTTTGGGAAGTGTTTTGTAGAGTCCAGTGGTCATGTAAAATGCTGTTTGCTAAATGTGATTCTTTTCAACTGCACCGCTCCCCAAAAGAGCAACAGATGAATGCTGAGAGCAGGACAGGATCGGTACAGTTTACAAACTCACTGCTGATAAGGTAATGGAGCTCTTCCAGGTAAGGCCAGGTTTAAGATGATGTTCTTGAACTTTATTCCTAGTTGGCCAGTTCTGATATAATTCCACTTTGTGAGCTGAAAGGGAGATTGAGATCTATGACACATATTTGTAAGTCTTCGAAATTCCTCTTAGATTTGAATCTTAAGTAGAGAATGATTGACTGACTTTTGTGGAAGACAGCAGAGTTTCATTTGCTTTTGTGTTTTCAGATTTGTGTTGAAGGGAATATTGCGAGTGGAAAGACAACATGCCTGGAGTACTTTGCAAACTCGTATAACATTGAGGTAAATGGAGGACTATGCAATACCTTTTTTAAATTCATTCTGGAATCTGGGCATTGCTGCCATTTTTTGTCCAGGCCTCATTGCCCAGAGAAGGCAGTACCAGGAATAGTTAAAACAGTTTAGTCCCTGTAATTGTTCTTGTGATGCTTTGAGGCAGCTGGGTGATTTGCTAGGCTAATGGCCCTTATGAAATCTTTTTAATGGACCAGACACTGTCCACCTCACTCCCACTGCGTCCGATCCCAATCGAATGCCTTCATGCTCACTCTCATTCTACCCAATCCCAATCAAACTCCTTCCTGCTCACTCCCATTCTATCCAATCCCAATTAAATGTATTCCTCCTGTTTATTAATGCTGTATGGAACTTAGGTAAAGAAATTTCTTCTGAATTTCCAGTTGGATCCGTTGGTGAATTTCTTGTAGTTACAGCCTCTGGGTTTGATCTTCCTGCTGTGGAAACATCACCCAGCCTATGTCACCCCTCCACAATTGTAAAGAGCTGCTTCTGTCTGAGAAACTGACCAGGTTTCCCCCAGCTCTCAGCTGCTAGGACAAGTAGGCATTGTTAGTTCTGGAGCAGTGTAATAGCTGGATGTCTGCAATGTCAGGAGCCTCCATATGTGGCTTCTGTCTGAATTCTGGGTGCGGAGTGTATGTGTATGTGGAGGTGGGGTGGGGGCCGGTGGCTGGGAGAAGTATGTTTTGTTAAAGTGCCTTTCCATTTTATTGGAACAAAGGATTTGATTGATCAGCACTTGCTATACCTGAGTGAGCCTGATTTAAATCTAACAAAACCACTACACAAGAGTTTCGCTATTGAAAATAACTGCTTGACAAATGTACTGAGGCTGATGATCAGTTTATTTGATTTTTTTTCCACGTAAGAGGGAATTCTTTCCTCTGGAATTCAGGAAATGCTGACTAGAATGTGGGTCTTTTCTGTACCAACACCTCCCTGCCCTCTGCACCACTTCCTATAATACCTCTTAATAAACAAAGATTGATCATGTTCAGTTTTGAAATTTCCGACTGAGCCCGAGTGCCAAAATTCTTTTGGAGAGAGTGTTTCCAATCTCCACTGCCCTTTGAATGAGGAACTCTTCCTGACCTCCCCTGCTAGCTCCTGTTTTAAGTTTACAGCCAGAACTCTTCACCCCAAGCAAAATAGCTTCTCTCCACACTAACTATTCTTTCAACTCCTTGTCATCATCTTTAATGACCTCCTGTAGATGGCCCTTTAACATTCTGTACTCAATGGATGACAAAGTTAGTTTATATAATTTGTCTTTATATAGTTAACCTGACAGCCCAGGTATCTTTTGGGTAAATCCACACTGCACTTACTCCGAGGCCACTACATCACAAATACATTTGTCTTGATAGTGATTATGGGAATGTCATTCTTGTTTACATTAAACATAGACGATTGGTAAAGGAGGTATCATCCCATGGGGAGATCCTACGGATACAGCCAGCTATAGTCAGACTCTCTGGTGTCCCATATTGAGGTTCTACACTTTTTAAATATTTTTTCTGTCTCTTGGCAGGCCCTGACAGAGCCTGTGCCAAAGTGGAGGAACATTTGGAACCACAACCTGCTGGTAAGAACAAGGACTTTCACCTCCAAGGTGTACCTAAGAGGATCTGTTTGTGAGGTTTTGGAGGGAGAGGATCGGGGCTTTCAGAGATGAATAAGGTTGAGCTCAATGTCAGATAGAAGGGTCTGCACGGGAAAGCGGGGAAGTGTTCCACAGTAATGTAGTTCAGGGAGGTACTAACGATGTAGAAACTTGAAGATACAACAGGAGTGATAGGAATTGAAGGGAGGGTGAGAATCTTGGGGTACACTGCAGTCGACTTGTCAAGGTTTCGTAGACTATAGCTCACAAATGTACCAGCTTTACCACTGAAAAGGTCAAGGGCAGCAGGCGTATTGGAACGCTACCACTTGGAAATATATCACTATGACTTAGAAATATATTACCGTTCCATCATCAATGGGTTGAAATTGTTTTGTGTTCAAGTGAGTGTCTGTGTTGCTTTGATATTGAAGGCCAAGCTGTGATACCTGATGATATACCTGGTTAAGAAATGACTTGAAGAATTAATAATGGACTTTCATTGTCACCGTACAGACACATCATTACTTTCTGAGGACATCTAGACCCTGGGCCCATTCCTGTTCTCCAGCATCAATGAGTCACTAAAGAAGAAGACCAGTCTCTTCCTCAAGGGCAGAAAGGGCTGAGCGATAAATGCCAGCTTCGCCATGATGCCAGCCACTCATTAATGGTCACTTTTACTTGGGGGATGGGGTGCGTGGTGCGGTTAATACACTGACATTTTTCCTTGTGCTCAGCTTCAAACCAAGAGCCCTGAGGTATATTACAGCAACAACTGAGAGGTTGAGTCTTTCAAAGACAGTGAAGCTGAGCAGTGATAATTCATTGCATCTGGCAGCATCTGTGGAGGAGAAAACAGAGTTAACGTTTCGGGTCCGGTGACCCTTCCTCAGAACCGTTCTGAGGCAGGGTCACCGGACCCGAAACGTTAACCGAAACGTTAACTCTGTTTTCTCCTTCACAGATGCTGCCAGACCTGCTGAGCTTTTCCAGCAACTTTGTTATTGTTCCTGACTTACAGCATCCACAGTTCTTTTGGTTTTTACTTAGTGATAATTCATTGCCTGAGTGTGCCATTGGGAAAGTTGGACTTCCAAGGTTTATTCATGCTTAAATAATTTTGTCGGCAGGCACTGATGTATGAAGATCCTTCGCGTTGGGCAATTACTCTCCAGAGCTATGTCCAGCTCACGATGTTACAACAACACATTCTGCCTCAGGTACATGCACTGAACAGAAAAGAAAGTGTCAAAATGTTAATGAAGAAAAGTAATTATCTGCACTGAGAATTTACACATTTAATTTTGTACTGTATCTTGTTTAGAGTACGCTTGGAGTACTGTGCTCAGTTTTTGATCTGCATATTAGAAAAAGGAGACTGTAAACAAAAGAATTGAATTGCAGGACAATTGAGAGATTGTAACTGCTAGAAGGACTGAATAGGCTGAAGGTCTTTTCCCCAGAAAATAAAGGACAGAGGGATGATTTATGATTTGATAGTGCTTTTTAAGGTGTTATGAAGGAGTTTGAGATAGCTGACAGGGAAATATGTTTCACCTGTTAGGAAAAGGTCCAAAATTTAAGAGAGTCTCTTCTTTTTCTTTGTTCTTTTAGGTGACAGGTTTAGATAGAGGATCTGGATCGGCACAGGCTTGGAGGGCCGAAGGGCCTGTTCCTGTGCTGTAATTTTCTTTGTTCTTTATAGTGTTGTAAATTAGCCTTTACCAAGTTGAGTTGACAGAAACAAGTACCTGGTGCCCTCCAGCATTAGCAAAACATGACAGCCATCTGCTCAATCAGCGCTTGTTAATAAAAGTAAAAGCAAAGTACTGCGGATGCTGAAAATCTGACAGAAACAAAGTGCTGGAGAAACTCGGCAGGTCTAGCAGCATGCGAGTCATATACAACTCAAAACATTACTTGTGTTCCTGTTTTTCTACAGATGCTGCCAAAACTAGCACTTTGTTTCTGTCTTTTCACTGGCCAGTTTCTCACATTCCAGCTTCAGACTGTAATAAAGGAGAGAACAGCTTAATACCTTTATGTGAAAAGATATGAGACAATTACCAGGAGAAAGCAACAGTCTTTCCAGAACCCAACTGACATTACCGCAATGCCACTGCTTACCCACTTGACTATCTAATTCTGATATGACCTATTGAAATGATAAGTACTGACGATGAAGCTGCTAAATAAGAATAATTTAAAGATTTCAAGTGACAGAACTGTTACTATATTCTTTGGAAGGTTGTTTCATTGCCGATT